ACCCGTCGGTCAAACGAAGCCCCATTACCGATATTGGTAATTTACCGGATAACAGTCTGAATTGAATTTCAGAGACTTCTAAATTAAAGTTGGGGAATCTACAATTATTCTAAAGTTCCATAGTAATTGAAATCACACAATATATTTTATTTGGCCCGATAAAATAAAATATAATTAAAAGAGTTTGAAAAGTACAACTTTCGGGACCGATTGTGCATTTCGGGACACAAAGGGATGACCTCCCACATGAGTGGGGGCCACCCCACGTTTTTATGAGCTGGGATAGACAAGGAAATGGGCTGGTTGACTTGTAAGGGAATAGGGTGAGGTGATGAGCATCAAAGGTACACCCATGGACCCCATTTCTCCCCACTCATTGTCCAAGCAAGACAAAAGAGCCAACTCCAACCCCGCTCATCCCATTATTTCGGCCAGAGCATCAAAGAAGAGAGATATAAAGCTCCAAGATCATACTCCATTGTTGTAGCTCAAGCTCAAGCAAGAGTGGTTCAAAAGGGGGAGTTTTAAGAGGGAAAAGAGAGGAAAAACTTGGATAATTAAGGTAATGACCTTATACTAACCTTTCCTCTATTTTTTATTTATCATATGATTAATATATCATATGGAGGACTCCTAGAATCATTCTACACATTTAGAAGTGTAGAATGGGGGGTTGGAAGGTAGTTCTAAGTCCAAGAACGGACTTAGAAGCCAAAACGACCGGTTCGCCGGAAAATAACCTTTAAGGGGTTATTTGTGTTGATATGGGTTTTGTAATGATAAAACCATGTTAGGAGCTTGACTAAAGTGGTTCTAGATTTCGCCGGAGTTTCGCTGGAGTTTCGCCGAAGTTCGCCGGAGTCTCGCCGGAGTTCAACTAAGAAGAGTAGAATCTTCCTAAAGCTCATTTGAGGTGAGTGGACGGCTTAATATCTTATAACTTTTGGGTTAATTATGAGATTACCTTAATAAATGTTATATGTATTCATAATGATGTTTAAAGGATGTTTAAACATATGATTAGCCAAAATTATTAGGCTTGTATGACATGAATTATTTGAATATACATAGAGTATGATTTGAGAATTTCTATGAAATTACATGCTATGTATTAAAGGGTAAAGGAAGCCTAGAATGAATATTATTGACTTAATATACATGATGATTGAGTTGATATGTACAAAGTTTGAAATGGCGGTCAACGAAAACGTTGACCGATGGATATTGGATTAATTAATACCGGTTGGCATTAGTTAATTACAAACTTATATAAACGCATGGCTTGCATGAGTTGAGATACATAAGCTTTATGAATTGATTTAGCTATGAATGAATAAATATGATATAGACTCTATCTAGGTTGATAGGAGCTTGATCATAGGATTATATATTGGTGGAGGACCCTAGGACTTAAAGTCCTTAACACTCAAATTACATGTTGGTGGAGGACCCTAGGACTTAAAGTCCTTAACACTCAAATTATATATTGGTGGAGGACCCTAAAACATAAAGTTCTTAACACTCGGATTATATATTGGTGGAGGACCCTAGAACTTAACGTTCTTAACACTCGGATTATATATTGGTGGAGGACCCTAGGACTAAAAGTCCTTAACACTCAAATATAAATTGGTGGAGTACCCAAGGATTTTGATCCTCAAAATTCATAGATTATGATATTGAAATATGAACAAGGAGGAGTCCTATACACTCATAGGTATATGGGTCGGGTATTTTCCAAGTGTATATATATACTATTAAGTATTTCTTAACTTGGGGGAAAGTACTATTTATATAAGTATCACCCTACGTTTGGGCCTTATACTTGAAACGCTAGTTATTCTATATTTAGTCTGCTACTCGCTCGGTACATGTACTGACCCCTTCGGGGCCCCCCACCATTTTCAGGTTGAGGCTAGGGCTTGCTACCTGCACCTTTCTACGGGTGACATCAAATCAAGGAAGACGTGGTTTGTGCTTCCTCGTTTTCTTTCAAATTACCAAACATTGCTCATGGATACTTTTATTTATTATAAACTACTTTTGGGTTTGCATGCCCATGTTATTGGCCGAATGTGGCTTATGAGGTACCGCTGAATATTTCCGCTATTCAATGGTTTAATTGTGATGTTTGTTATGTATGTTTACTACTGAGCATGGATGGATTGTTTTCTCGAATGCCTTGTATGATTAAGTGAGGTTGACCTGCGGGTGACGTCACTTGATTATACGACGGTTGTACACACGCTTAGATTGCGGTCTGGGGCGTGACATTAGTCCTCCCTAATAATCCGGGACTGATACCCGCTATATTTCTATTATTAGTCAGTTCGGCCCCGATCACTTATTGGATTACTTCTTCCCTATTATTTTGACCCATATCTTTATATATTAATCAATCCATTATGATTGGCCCATTACATAAACAATATGGGTCAAGAACATATTAGTTACTCTCTTCCCATATTTCGGGATTGATACACAATTTAATTAATCACTATTAATTGAATCAATTAATCATTTCTCATATGATTAATATAGCTAGTGACTTGTTTCAAAATGAATTTTATACTCATTAACTCCACTAATCATTATTGTTTTGATTAGTATTTATAGTTTAATTAAGTTTTAATTTTAATGGATAAAAATCCAAGTTCAATTGGGAGCGGTGTCACAACTCAGAAGTACTTCTTCACTTTCACTCACACACTCCTATATTTGATTTTGCTCTCTAAGAGAGCATACGTACGCAGTTTCCAAAAGTAGATCCAGACACCCCTAAAGCTACTTGTTCTATTTGAGTAGCTAGTTTTGGTTATAGGAGTGAAAATTACACCTATCGTCTCGTCCCTCACTCGGATAATTTGTAATTAATACCAGTAAATTATGGTGATAAAAAACATTTAAAATAATTGCTATAGGTCTAACAAACAAATCCAAACATAAAATGCACGATAACTATCTTCTTATAAGTTAACATTATATATCTAACCAAATAAACGAACTAAATTATACTTTCTTCGTCCTTTAGAACTTTGTCAACTTTTCTTTTTTGGTTATTCCACTAACTTTGTCACTTTTCATTTTAAGTGAAGAATTTGTGATTCCAATCAATTATCTTTCCTCTGCACAAATTTGAACCACACATTTATCTATATATAAAGTATATGTCTGCCCGTGCAGTTATATATATAAAGTATATTTTTGTCTGCCCGTGCATCTATTTATATAAAGTATATTTTGTTTTTTATTAAATTTGACATCACAACACAGTGACTTATCTTGCACTCTTTACTAAATTATATCATTATAAAATGATTTTTGAAATTGCACTCATCTCAATTTTGTATTTCCCATTATGATACATGCAAATTAATTAACACGTCCTGCGTTTTTACTCAAAAGCTTAACATATATTTTAAAAATATGTGAAATTTATAGAAATCAATGTGATTTACAATATTCACTTTAAGTAGTATATGAATAACAAATTCTACTTTATTTCTTCCTAAAGTATATGAGCATAAGTTAACAGGAAAAAAATCTGATAAAACAACCAAACAACAACTCTATAATTAATGGACCAATACTACCAAAAAATATTGGCGGTCCCTCAACTAAATAAAACTCTCCCAATATAAATGTTTGTCTTGGGTGTCATGAAGTTGAGACGATTCAATTCTCACACCCATTTCTTGCTAAGTAAAAATGTATGTGAAATAAAAAAAAATCACAGCTTTAGAATAATTACAGTAGTAGAATAAAAAAATTGCCACACCTTAAAATTGTGTAGTAAATTAATACGATTATGTTGCATATTAATCTTATATCAGATTTATTAATTGTAGCTGTTTTTTCAATATTGATTTTTTAAAAACAATTTCTTTATTTTAGATTACACATATTTTTGGTAACTCAAAGAAAATTAATAATTTTGAAAGATACTTAACACCATCAATGATATTTTCCACACGATTAATCTACTCCACATTATATAAATGTAATTTACAAATATATATTCCAAAACTACGACTTAAAATCAATAAAAAATCGTACAATTAGTATTTAGCGAAAGATATGTAATAAGAACATTTGAACATTAGGTAAATTGAATAATACACATTCATTGAATATTTGAACGTTGATATTGGAATTTTTTAATATAAAGTGAACTCAATTCATAGAACCACTTTGATCTTAACAACATGCAATAAGAAATTTAATCTGGGCAACATTCCATTTTAGCACTCGGAACTTTTTTTAAATGTAAATCTAACGGGAAGAAGAAATTAAATTCATTTGTTTAGGTAAGATACAACTAAATATCTCAGATTTAGTAGGTCAACTTAAATACAATGTAGGTCAACTTAAATACAACTATTATGCTTAACATCATTTGTTTAGGTAAGATAAGTTAAATATCTCACATTGAAAATATAAGTCCATCCAAATACGGAGTATATAAGAAATAGTCTTACTTTGTACTTCCTCCGTTCCATAAAAGTTGTAACATTGGAATTTCTGTACTATTCACACACCTTACTTTGACTACGATTTTCTAATAATATATATAATAAAAATATAATGTATAAAATATTATAAAATTTGTATTAATGTAAATTTCCAATATATTAACTTTTTTTAATGTTTACTAATACATAAATAAATATAATTACAGTCAAAGTTGTGTGTTGGCAGACGTGAAAGTCAAACTGTTGCAACTTTTATGGAACGGAGGATAGTATTATATTATGTGGTTTTCTTGTATGACAAATAGCTTTAATGATTATATATACATAATATATATGCACAATCAATTACGTAGTGTATTTGATTTTTGTATCATGTAATATAATCAAATGTTATTGCAGGTAATTCTTGCTGAGATGATATTCAGGCAGCAGATCATGATTTTACTCTTGAGAGATACTTCGTATAAACAGATTCACCAACTCAAAAACTACATTCATTATATCCTAGTATCAAATAATTTAAACAATCTAGGATTAAACAATTTAGAGAACCGCTCTCCAGTCCAAGGCCGACGTTCCACGCAAGCGGTTGTGCTATAGCGGGAGCCGACGCCATCCTATTGCGGCGACTGGGCAAGAATTTTCGTTGTCACGTACTACCAAGTAGGCCCTCAACCGCCTCTTGCTGTAGACCACGGCCACCACAAGTGGCCGAACATAGCAACGCCGCCGCCTCCAATTCATACGGTCAGTATACCGTCGAATCGACACCTGTCAGCCAGACTTTGCAGCGTCGCTTGCAATTTGTTGGGTCGCCGCCTTCCTGTTTCGGTCACATCTTCCATCACACATTGCTTGGTCACCGACCGCCTCATGTTCACCATCAAGTCGATCCGCAGCCGCAACCGCTAGGGCACCATGAGAGGCAATCTTCCCCTGCATCTCTGCAATTTGGCGTGACTTTTCTTTTGCTTTTCTTTTGAAAGCAGAAAAACTATTTATATACGGTCTAGGATGCAAAGGCGCTTCAGTTCTGGCATTGAGGTTCACAAAAATTAAATTCCCAAGGCCATCTGAAATAATACTCCACACTTCCCATGCATGTATGTATTATAATAGATTGTTGTGATCTATCATGGAACCTAACGTATACATGAAAACATGATATTTATAATGTGCATTCCATATTTATGATCAAATATTAAAGTTTTTCCCCAAATTAATGTTAAATAAAAAAATAATTACTAAATTAGTGTTGGGTTAAAAGTATTTCCCAATTATCAAGCATATCTATTTCATGTTGTCACTCAAGTCCATCTAGGAGATATGTGGAGCCGTTGGTCCGTTAGAATTTAAATAATAGAAACAAAAAAAAACTAAAAGAGTCCTTCGTTTATGCTTCACACCTCGTTGCATCTCGAGAGAATTCCAGAAAGTCTTCCAAATCCATTCCTCATAGCCCTCGCCCCTTAGCACCCAATTGCTTTTAATAATAGTTTTGCCTCTTCTTATTCATCTCTGACTTCTTCTTCTTACTATTCTTACCACCATAATTTGCGCATCACTTCTTCCTAAGCTCTCAAAATTAGGTGTCAATGTGATCCTTTCCCGCGAGAGCGCCGATAAACATGGGTAATCGCATCTCCAAGTTGTTCCCATCCGCGAGAAGGCAAAAGGAGTAGGGCACAACCGCACAACAATAACGAATATGGTTTCGTGGTGGTCTCCTGTCCCAAGGAGAGATGCATATTGACTGGCTCTTGTTTGTATTGACCGTATGGGTTTCTGTTGCCCCAATATTTCATCAAAGTGATAGCCTTTGCTACAGTGTTGCCCCGACTTCAAAATGTTGGTGTTGGCGGTGGAATTTACCCATCGATGTTCGTTTTGGCCTCTAGTCGATGCCCCTGAGGTCCCTCCTTGGAGAGACGTGCCTTTGTGGAGGCTAGTGAGGCTTAAAACGTGTCCTTAAAACGTATTTGTCACCTCCCACGATGCTAGGAGCGTTGCAATGACTGTTTCCCAGGATACGGTGGCTAATGAACTAACGTTTGAGCACACAAACGAAAGTTCCGGCGAACGGGAACCAATGCAGAACACTCATGAATTTTTTTAGAGTAGCTAGAAGTGTTTTTAGAGCTAAAAACTACGTGCAGATTGCTTGTGAACGTGTGTTTGTTGCAAAGCACCTGCCAGCTATTTTTAGGATGATTTGTAATTTAACCCTCTTAATAAATTTAGGTAAATGTTCCCCGACATTTACCACGCCCTGAGGCGTTTTTTCGGGAAAAAAATGGAGTGTTAATGGACCTGAACGTTGGACATCAATGACCAGTTCGTTGGGCATTGAATCGTCCATAAACTATCCATTTAACGCAGCATTAAAACATAAGAACGTTGGGCATTTATTGTTGTAGCGGCCCAGAAGACCTCAAGCGTTTCTGTTGCGACCAAAAGACCTCGGACCCTTCTGTTGCGACCAGAATACCTTGAGCCCTTCTGTTGAGACCAGAATACCTCGACGGTTTCTGTTGAGCTGAACAGAAGCAGAGCGATTCTGTTGAGAACAGAACCCTCTTCTGGTCCGGACAGAAACAGAGCGATTCTGCCAGCCTGTAAAAAATAAGGAACGTTTACGGGAAGAAACAAAAATTAATTCGTATTGTTGAATGGTAGATTTTCGGACGACATTCGTGTCCGCAGGTCGCCCACGCACGCAAGTTGCGATTTTTCTTCTCCATTTTCGGGATTTGATCAGCACCTCCCATGCGCGCGAAGAGAGCCTTTCCCCTAAGGAATCTTAACTCCTTCTAGGTGGGTTCCCTTTATAAAGGGGTGAAAATCCCTTGAGTTTTTCGGTGTGAGATAAATCACACTAGAAACCCATCCTTTTTCCCAGTTTTCTCCATTTCAACGAGTGAACTTCGAGAATCAATTTCTCATTCACCCGTTAATCCGTTTTGAGTGTACCACATATCGAATTGTAGCCCTTAACAAGGACAATCCGAAACCACTTTGACCCGATCCAAATCGGAAGTAGACCCCACTCAAAATATTGCCCCAAATTGACCATTTAATGCAATTTTTAACACATTTTTTCAACAATCCCCCACATGAATGAAAATTGATTTTCGAGACTTAAAAAGACACGAAGATAGGAGGACACGTTGTGTTCACCGGATGATCCCTGCATACGGAGAGGTAGGTTTTATCCTTTGAATCTTCCATTGTAAAGACATGTTTATTTACTGGCTCTCTAGTAGACTCGATGTCCTTGAACTATACTGCCGTCGTGTAAACATTGACTTATCTTTACACAGGAAGCTTCCAACTTTGTTCCGTTCTCATGGGTGTGCCCTTTTTGGCCATGGGTCACTGTCCTGGTTCTAGAAGAGTTTCTAAAGAACTGAGTCTATACAGTTCTCCTTTGAAGCGGCCCTCTTCTCTCTCACATAGGTGATTCTTTCACTAGTATCCCGCATACTATTCCAATGTTATCGAGTAGATCAACATTTCAGAATCATTAAAGCAAACGTTTTTGCTAACCTCGTGCGGGAGTCAGTGTTTCAACGAGGAGTGGGTAGGAGTCCGGGACCCCCACAGTGACCATCTTTCGCTCTATAATTTAGTTGTCCCTTTTGAACCTAGGACCAACTAGGTTGGGTATCCACTATAAAACTTTTCAATTCAAGGGCTTTAGTCCCATTCCTCGTGACAACTTCTCCAATAGTGATAACACCCGTTGTAAGGAGTTGTTTAATGGTGTTATGTCTACGACGAACGTGTCTAGACTTGCCATTATACATGTTGCTCTGTACCCTTCCAATTGCCGTTTGACAATCGCATTGTATGCATATTGTAGGGACAGGCTTTTCCCAACTTGGAATATCCTCGAGAAAATGGCGTAGCCATTCAGCCTCTTCAGTGTACTTATCCAAGGCTATTAGCTCAGACTTCATCGTGGATCTAGCTATTATCGTTTGTTTCGAGGATTTCCATGATACGGATTCACCTCCCAAAGTGAAAACATATCCACTTGTGGACTTTGAGTCCTTAATATCATATATCCAACTAGCATCACTATACCCTTCAGGTACAGCTGGATATCTTCCATAGTGCAATCCAAGATTTTGGGTTTTACGTAAATACCTCAAAACCATTACTATTACCTTCGAGTGTTCATCACCGGGGTTGCTAGTATATCTACTTAGCTTGCTAACCACAAACGCAATATCAGACATGGTACAACTCATTAGATACATCAAGCTTCCAATAATCCTAGTGTATTCTACTTGAGAAATACACTCTCCATGATTTTTGGTAAGGTGTACGTTTTTATCTAATGGAGTCTTTGCCTCTTGATAATCATCCTTATTAAATTTCGTAAGAATTTTATTAGCGTAATGGGATTGGCTTAGCGTAAGACCGTCAGGTCCTCTAGTTATTTTAATCCCAAGGATTAAATCGGCCAGCCCCATCATATCCTTCATGTCAAATTTAGAATTTAACATGCTTTTAGAAGAATTAATCATTGGATTATTGTTACCCACGATGAGTATATCATCCACTTATAAACATAAAATGACATAGCCATCTACTGTGTTTTTCACATAGACGCATTTGTCACTTTCGTTTATTTTAAACCCATTAATTAACATTGCATGATCGAACTTTTCGTGCCACTGTTTAGGGGGCTTGTTTCAATCCATACAATGATTTAATTAATTCACACACTTTCCTTTCTTAGCCAGGAACACGAAAGCCCTCAGGTTGTTTCATATAAATTTCTCCGTCTATATAGCCATTTAGAAAAGCGTTTTTTACATCCATTTGATGAACTTCCAATTTCCGCAACGCGGCAATTGCTAGTATCATCCTAATGGAATTTATTCTCGTCACAGGAGAATACGTGTCAAAGTAATCATGGCCCTCACGTTGCTTGTATCCCTTTTTTACAAGTCTGGCCTTGCACTTATCGATGGAACCGCCAGGTTTCATTTTTCGTTTAAAAATACACTTGGATCTCAAAGGTTTATTTCCCGGAGGAAGATCAATCAATTCCCACGTGTGATTTTGTAGGATAGAATCCACCTCACTTTTGATGGCTTCTTTCCACATAGGACCTTCGGTAGACGTCACGACTTCCGTATAAGTCCGTGGCTCATTTTCTACCAAACATGTTAGAAAACCCGGTTAGTTTTCTACCATACATGATAGAATATCCGAGTCAAATTCTACCAAGTAGGTGAGAAAATCCGGTCTGACGGATTTTTCACCTCTAGCGCGTTTGCTACGTCTGGGTTCGGCTTCTTCTTCGAAGCCCTCACTAGTATTTTCCATAGCTACGTCAAATGTTCGTTTTGACGTGCTTGGTCCTTCATTGGACTTGCATGGAAATACGTCCTCAAAGAATGAAGCATTCCTTGATTCAATAATTGTGTTTTTATGTACATCCGGATTATTCGAATCGTACACTAAAAACTGATAAGCACTACTATTTTGTGCATACCCAATAAAAATACATCTATCGTTTTTGGACCTATTTTTATTTTCTTAGGTGTTGGTACAAGCACATTTGCAAGACACCCCCACACTTTTAAATATTGATAGGAAGGCCTTCTACCTTTCCACAACTCGTAAGGAGTTTTATCATATTTTTTCCAGGGAACCTTATTTAAAGGTAATTGCTTGACAAGACCGCTTCGTCCCACATATTTTGTGGCAGGCCCGAACTTACTAACATCGCATTCATCATATCTTTCAATGTGCGATTCTTTCGTTCAGCAACACCGTTTGATTGAGGTGAATAGGGTGCGGTACGTTCGTGTACTATAGCCACGACAAAATTTTCCGTCAATTAAGTTGGTTTTCCTCTTCATTCTTATAAAGAATGAATTTATCGACTGCTTCGTGTTTATTTTTTAATAAATAAACATAGCTATAGTGAGTGTTATCATCGATAAACGTAATAAAATATTTATTACCGAAACGTGTTTATATTAATTTAAAATCACAAACGTCACTATGAATTAATTCAAGTGGTTCCGTTTTTTCTTTCAACCGATTTGAAAGACGTTTTTGTTAGTTTTGCCTCTACACAAACTTCACATTTGTGCTTCACATCAATTGTGAATTTAGGAATGTGTTCCATGTTACTTAATCTACGTATGGAATTAAAATTAACATGTCCTAGTCTACCATGCCACACATTGAAAGACTCAAGCAAGTAAGCAGAAGGGATTTTATTATTATTATTATTAATAGTCGTTACATTAAGCTTAAACAGTCCACCACATGCATACCCTTTGCCCACATACATTCCCGACTTAGACAAAACTAGTTTGTCCGACTCAAAAAACATATGGAAGCCATGCTTGTTCAACAACGAGCCGGAGATCAGGTTCTTGCGTATCTCCGGAATGAACAGCACTTGGTTTAGAGTCAGTTCTTTGCCCAAAGTCATCTT